AAAAGGTTTGGGCATAGCCCATTTAACTGAAAGACTCATTGATACTTAAGCTGGCCTCTTTCTTTCATCAACATTTCATTGGGGACACAGGCACCTCACATTATTGTTCTTTCCACCAATGTGAAACTTTAAGATGCCCTCCCATTAAGTCATTAAGTAAATACCATGGGGCAGCCTTCCTTACGGTAAATCTTTGTTTCATTCAATACTTGCTTTATAGTAAACACTCTGATGTTCAGCACAAGTTCTTCCCTGGTCCCCGCTCCTGGCTCCAACTTCTTCTATTTATCTATTTTATGTCACTGTAAAGTACACCCAGCAAATCAGTAGCACCGAAAAAGCTGAAGAATTCAAGTGATGAATGGACACTTCTTAAATTGCAAAGCACTTCCTTTATTTTAAACCAAAATATTTAAACAAGCACCACTGCACTGTAAGATAATATCTAGTGACCTACGCAAAAACTGGTCAGTCTTATAAACCTAATTTACACTTCAACAGAGATAATGTTTGAGGGAACTTGAGGTTACTGAAGAGCAAGGAGGGAACAGCAAATAAATACTGCTTGGTGTGATAAGTGAAATTATGTACTTGAATGTCTGGGAGCAAGAGACTATGTCCTTTCCTACCCCTTCCGACACTGGCAGTGGCATCTCTGATGCAGCTGTGTGGATGCTGGCCAGCTGTGGCTAAGAATCCCACTCCTTAGCCCCACTTTTTCTTGTGGAACAGAGCCCATTTCCTCTAATGTGGCTCCTTTCTCTCATAATGAATAAAATAAATTAGAAGCATTTTGTGGAGGGAGCGGAGGGAAGCTTTTGCTGTACACAACTCAGGGGAGCAGATGTTTTTCCATTAGCTCAGTGTTCTGTGCTGCACTGGCTCTCTTTACATTTCACATTTATGGCACATTCATTCTAACTCTCTTAAAGGGTAAACCTCTAACGTGTCACTGAGATGGAAAGTGGCTATTCCCAGTCCCACCACAGCCAGTGGTGAGGGGGTCATGCTATGTGGAATAGTTATAAACTCATGTTTTCTTTCTAAATACATCCTGGAGCAAAATCAGCAAAGTCTACCTGCTGAGGTCTGTGGACTGTGCTAAGCAGGCGTGTAGCCAATCACATATCAAATTACAAGAGCTACTTTGCTGTGAGTGGCCATATTTGGTAAAGTATTGGGCAGTCAGGATGCTAATTGTCAGATGCACGGTACTACTAATGGCAAACAAAGAGGACACGGGAAGTCAAAAGTAAAGCTTAAAATAAGAGCAACACTGACTGAAGTAATAGAACGTATCTTATTAAACTGTTATGCAGCCTTAAAAAGCCAGTACGCCAACACAGCCTAATCTTATTAGTAGCCAAAAGGATAACGATGCAGTTCAGAGTAGAAATAACTCTCCACAACAGAGCTATCTGTTCTGTTCTGTGCTAACTTATTACACTGTCTAATATAAAAGCGGCTTTGTTAAGGCAATGACAAAATCTGAGGAAAGTTGCAACCTTAAATCATAATTTAAAAAAAACCCTTGCAGATTACATTTCTGTTTTCAATCCCTCCCTCTGCCTGACTTCAGACTAACATGGCCAGCTACTTCTCTCTACTTTAAAGGAGCACTGACAAGAAATCAAGAGGGTAAGGGCAATACACAAATTCTTAGCTCAGAGGTTTTTCTTCTATAATGGATTAACAGTACTATAAATATTAACTTCTCAGCATCCCTATGGAGAGAATATGTTTACACACTAGATGCGACGAGCAACTAGGATAATGCATTACACTGGGGGGAAGAGCATGGTGTGAGGGTTAAGCAATGCTCTGGGAAGGAAGAGAAAGGTTTTGACGCCACCTGGTTGAGTTGAAAACATCAGAGAAGCAGGTTGATGCGCCATGTTGAGGAAAACTGTCAAAAGGGAGGAGGGAGCATAGGCGAGGCCTCTGGCCACCACTCATAGACTAGGTCCTGATTCAGGGCAGAATTTGAACACGTGCTGAATATTGTGAAATGGGATACACCTCCCGAGGCCTACAGTTATAAATACAAATACCTTTGTTGAACTGGTGCCTCCTTTAAGAAGAGCCACTACTCCAAGAAGATCCACTGCCACTGTTAAGAACCACAGACCAGCCAAACGTCAGCCTTCCTGCTGAGCATTAAGTATTGTTGCCAGAAAAAGCTTACAAATGGGCACATCAGACATAAGGAGTGGCTTCCTAACTGTGCTCTGGTGTGCAAAGAGAACAGATGGTGGAGCCTTATCTTGGGCTGTCTGGGGTAGATGGGTACATTTTGCCAGGGGAGTTTTTGACAGTAGTGTGCATTGTGCCATAGGAAGTGGTCTTTTAGGGCCTGCTTATCCTTCAGTTGTTTTGCTCTGGTTAACGTAGTTGTAACATTCTTCTTCTGTTAGTGAGCTCAGCTAAACCACCTTTTACTACAGAACAGGCTTACAAAGCAACTCTGCTTTTTCTTTATGAGGATTGCTAGAAGTGCTAACAATAGCTTGTGTATCTGTATTAGTTGGTTACGGATCAAGAGACTAACTCCATTCTTTCCTATGCACAGGATAAGTGTCTTCCTTATAAAAATATACACAGAAAATTACAGTGTACCAGCATGCATCAATGAATGGTGAGGTAAGCTAGGTGTCAGCATGCTAAATTGAACACTAGCTGCCTCCTACAGTGAACAGTTTAATGAAATATGGAATGGTACACATTTTTGGGAATATTAACTATTAACTAGTAATTTAACTATTACTTATCAAGGCTTGCTGTTTTGGAGTGGACTGGTTCCAGGAAGGTTTAGAAATCTCAGGGGACAACGTTTTGCTTTTGGTCTTGCACAGGTACCATAGAGATGGATTTCTTTGAAGGAGTTATTTATTTTCTGGGAAGAACTTTCAACAACTGCTTGCTGTGTCCATCAGTCACTGGACTCTGTTTGAAACTATCCAAGCACACACCTGCTTTCTCACCTCTCAAAATATCAAAACTCAGTGACTTCCATAATAAATAATAAAAGGAAGTCTTTTACGTGTGCATCACAAGGAGCTCATTAATTGACCTCCCAGTAATAACTAACTTCGCTAATGAAATTAGAAACCTCCTGTTCACAGCATATAATGCAGAAACCTTCAAAACTCTGACTCAAAGAAGAATAAGCAGATACATACACACACACAAGATAAGGAAGAGTACATAGCAAGACAGTGAATCTGAAGCATGTAAAAGGAAATCCTAAACAAAGTAATTTGATACACCTCTATACTGGCACTCAAAAATTGGCACTGAAAAGCAAGCATAGTCAATGTCATAGCAAGTACTAACTGTAAGCCAGTTAACACTTTTTTTTTTCCACGCTGCACCAAAGACATAAGCTACCTAAAGCACTCTGCAGGATGAAGAAGAACAGAAACAAGATTTCTTGGCACAGTAAGATAAGCTAAACCTTTGCTGCCCATATCTTCCTCCCCAAAAAAACTGAATAAGTTGCATACATTGAATAAAACAGAACCTCACTATTTCTCACTGCTGCCTAAAAGGCCTGCTGCAGATTACTTACATTTCTGAACAGGTGAATAAGTGAACTAGCATTACCAAAACAAAGGACAATACATCACATAAGGTTCCATGTTCATTCTTTCTAAACAAGTTTTCATATTTAGCAGTGCAGTTAATACAACACATTATATTTTGTGCCAGTACAGAAGTCTTAACCAGAGGACACCTTGTGCAGGAACATCTGTTAAATCTTTGCTGAAAAGCAGGGCCAGATTTTATGTGAGAAATAACCTGTGCAGATTAGCTAAGTGAGACTTTGCAAGGCAGTACTGCATACAAAATGCAAAATTCTCAGCCAATCTTCAAAAGGACTGCTTTTTATTTGTTCTACCTCCAACTGCAGGCACAAAATTATAGGCTTAAGGATCTGTAGAAAAAGTTGTATCTTCAAGAACAGACTTACAGGGTAGGAATTTTCAATTGACCCTGACAGTCTGGCCAATAACACAAGGAGTGACTGACAGAATATCACTCTTGCTGACAACCTTAAATAATCTATTCAGGAATTCTGAGGTCAACCCTAGTTTATGGAGTTATTTCACAGCACTCTCAACTCTTTCAAGATTTCTTTATGTCACTGTCTCTCAAGCTGACAGATAACCTGTCTGTCCTTGGAAGATTCAAAACAAGCCAAAGATAAATGAAGAAGGGATTCTCTTTTCCTTGCTTGTTTAATCATTTTCACTTAAGACTCAGCAAAGATTGAACCCTTCATATTAAAAGAACATTAAGTATATGCTTTTCTTCTATGATTTCTATCCTATGTAGAATCAAATGGCAAAATGAGACTGCTCTCACCAACAGACATGTTTACAATATAAATAACTCCCTCATTACCGTCTTGTAAAAAGATATCTCTGTGCAAGGGCTGAAGAGTTTTCCATAGTAGGATGGAGAGACAAAAGCTGAAAACTTTTCAAATATAAAATCTGGAGTATTCAAATAAAAAAAATACTTGTTTAAAAATATATATATCAACTGAATGGGGTTTCAGGTATGTAAACTGAGAACACTGGATTCCCTGGTGGTGTAAATTGTCACAGCTGAATAGATCATGGCAGCCACGATAATTTCCATCACCTGAGGATCCATCTGACAGCATTCACTTTCCTCTATGCAAACCCAAGACTTCTTTCATATATTAGCAAAGGTTGCTTTCTTTGCATTTGAAAAACAAGAAGCATGTGGTTAGCATTAGAAGTACAGTAGCGTAACTCAGAAAATGGAAAGAAAAAATATCTCCTTCTGCTTCTATTTTAGCTTAATGGGAATCATAAGAATCATCGTTGATGGCATCAGGGGCAGCCTTTGCAAAAGGCTCTCCGACAAAGTTACAAAGGCACAATCTCTGTGGAATATTTGCAGACATCTCTGGTAGATATTGCTTTCTCGCTCTCTCAAGTTCTAGGTGGTACACAGACACTGGGACTTACCAGCTTGTAGCCAAATTTGTTCAAGAGTTGTCCATAGTTGCATAGGTCCTTGCTTCATGGCAGTACTCTGCACAGTAACTTCAGACATGGCCTGCTCCAGTCTGGAAGCTGCAATAGAAGAGGCTCGCTGGGAGCCTTAAAGAGAGCCAAAAACCCCAATGAATTTATAATCCATCATTTTCTCTTGGCCAAGTAAAGACAAAGTCCAATTTCCCACTTTACCATATCAGCTTTATACCACTGTACTTTCACTTAACTCTGGGGCAACTGAGTGCTGAATCAGACTCTGTACCTCTGGGCTTTATTAAAAATATTTTTATTGGGAAGACTTCTAGATTAATCCACAGGCTGCTACAGTTCAAATGGATTAGGAGGCTGACACCGTTTTCAAAAAAGTCTGCTCAGCATCCATCCATCCTAGCAACCCTATTTGGCTGATCTGGAAATCGGAATTCTCATACAAAATGTATGCTAACAAGATTTGCCAGTCATCTGACAGATAAATAAACTGTCAAACAGACACAAAACATGACCCATTGATTTGGTTAGTACAATTCATAGCATGAAAATTTCAATTGGCAGCAATATCACACTACTGGTTTAGAGGGTGACTTGGTTATTCATTTAACCTTAGCAAGCCGAATAAGTACAGAACTTGAACTACATTAACTTGGTGGTTGTCAGATATGGTAACATACATAACTATAATGTATTTAACATTCCCAACTCTGAGAATATAATCTCCTGTCCAATACTGTTCTTTAAAGACAGGCACACAGAGAGCTCTCATTGGCTTCCAAAGCATGGTAGGAGCAGGATCAAGCCACCAACCTGGTGCACATGGGTACTGGGGTGTACCAGGATGCACTAACCAAAGGAAAGGTTATGAAGTGGAAGGAAAGAGAAATGATTTAAAGCTAGAGTTTGGTTTTAATCTTCTTAGGTTACAGCTAATAAATAAAAGGTAGAAGACAAAAACAAGTTAAGGAGGATAATTACTCTCTAAAGAGCAGCGACAACAGAAGCCATAGCCCTGACTGGCGTTGCTCTTTAATGTGTTGACCCAGGAGATCACCAGATCCTAAAAGTTAAACTTGTCTCTCTCTGTTGGAACTGCCTAGGCATTGTGGTGGTTACTTAAGAGTTATCTACCAGCTTAAGGTTAGAAAGGCTCCAAGCAACAGACGGGACAACTACCTAAGGAGCCTTTGGGAGGGCATCATACACTGCTACCTTTAAAAGGAAGGAGGAGTGCCCTCCACACAATGGCTAACCACAACCCTCTTCTGGACTATGCAATACCAGCAAGTGAATCAGCCTGACACCCCGCCTTTCCTAGTGCTGACATGAGCACCCACTTGGAATCCTGCCTTAGGGCTGTGTGGATATTCCAGGATGGGAGGGGTGTAAGGTATCTCTACATCCCTTATACAATAATATGTTTGCAAATATCTAGGTGGTCTAATAAAAGATATCACCTCTTCCATGAGTTTTGATTCCTTCTACACCCCTTTGCTTTCTAAGGCACCTGGTGCAGCACAGGCCAGGATTTGACCATAGCTTTTACATAACTGCCAGTGAGAAAATCTGAATATCTGGGGACAGCTGAAAGGCTTGAGTAGTTATAGGGCATATTCTCCCATTATTTCACTGCTAACAAATGTCATTCATTTTAAGCAGCCAAACTTCAAAACAGCTTTATAATGCTCTTGGTGCATGCACCTCCCATGACTCACTTTGAAAATGTAAATGTTCTCTTCCTAGATGCATGCTTTAAGTTCCTACATATTTTTCAAAGACATTCCTTGTCTAATGTTCCAAGAGATGACAATGCAGTAAAGCAGCAATTACAACTTTAGCTCTACAGTAAAAGCTGTACAGCTTTGTTCAGAGAATTTATTTTACTAAACAGTGTCTTTTAACGGATCAGTTTTTGGCCGTGGTTTACTTTGCAGAAGTCCTTGCCTCCCCTATTTAGCAGGCACAAGATTCCTCTGAAATGTGCCTCAAGGAAGTTTTAGTCCCATTTTTGTTAAGTTAGTGAAAATTAAATAGTTTTTAAGAGGCACTCAGCTCAGTGATCCAGAGAAGGCCCAGGAGAATTTCCTCAGAAAAGAAATTTACATTGCTGCACATGTGACCTAGGAACATCTTAGGCTGAGAAAATTCCTCCTAAATCCTAAAGAGAGAGTACATATTAAATTATCTTTCCTTTTCTGGCTCTGTACTCTATTCAGGTTATTTTAGGGCCCATCCTCACATAAAAATGTTTTGAAAATGAAATTCAAGTCTAGTTATCGTCTAAGACTCTCTCTTTTAGAATTTTCTTGGAGCCATGTTATTTGAAGCCACCAGTACCAGTACCATGACACATGGAACTGCTCTGATTTTATGTAGCTGGACAGGCAAGTAAGTCTCATTCAAATCCCAGAGGCTAGCAAAACCTTAGTCTCCTTCCGAGACAAGTCAGGTACTGCCATAGTGCAACTTTCTGTGCTCTGAAGAGCTGCAAGCTGGGACACTTATGCTGGTAAAGCATCCATCTGTTGCAAAGCAGACTCTGCACAGTGTTACAAAGCAAACTCCAAGAAACAGAAATTATCTTTCACTCTACCCCTACTACTTATTAATTGGATAGTTTCAAATAAAAGTATATGGCTCTTCGGCTTGATTCTGCCACCCACTGAGGTCTTCAATGTACCCTGCACCCAGAGGGAGCTGATGTTGCTCAGCACCTTAAAGCCCAAGGCTCTTTGTATCTAATATGCTGTTGGCATTTGATTTCTTCTCCACTTACATTTGTTCTCTCTTCCACAAAAACAAATTTAACCAAGTTAGTGCATTGTAGAAGCCAAAGATCCCAGAGACCTTTCCTTTGCACGTCTAGGAAATGGTTTCTAAGTAGAGGAAATATCCACCCATTAAGCTGATATTGCCTGGACCTTAGCCAGAAGTCTGTGGAAATGCAAACTGTCCTCTTCAAAAGAAATGTAAAGATTGAAGTTAACACATGCCCAAAAATTATACCACAGAATTTTAATTCTGTGCCTCCAAATATATGCAAATGCTGGGATAAGACATGATCATACCTATTAGTTATTTAGTAGAGATTCTCTCTCTTTTGTAACAGCTTCATTAAAGCATAAACTAAATTACATCTTGCAGTAATCTTTCCACAGATTTGGAGGAAGAATCATAAAAATAACAACACTCTTTTCACCATGATGAGCTCATGCCAGTCTCATACTTGTATCTAAATTGGTTGTTAAATATGTTTTTAAGACAAGAACCAAGTTTAATATTTTTGCGTCTGTGACAATCCCCCCTTGGTTAGTACCACAGACTGGTATTAGAGTGGAAAGGAATTTCAATATCTACCAGCAACACAGAGCCCTATACTAAAGCAATTTGGCCAAGAGAATTATAAGATAAGCTCGAATCAGAAAAAACTCACATAAAAACAGCAAGACTGATATCAGTGAATTGAGTCGAGAGCCCTGATTTACAGAGGAAAAGCTAAAGAAAACAAAGGGAAGTTAATCTTCCTAACAGCAAGACTAAGATTCCAGCTAGAATAATCCTATTGAAAAATAGGATGGTGTCAAACATCATCTGAATAATCCTTCCTGCAGTGAAGATCCCAGAGATTACAAAATGTCTGAACATTACAGCTCTATGGTAGAGTACCTTCGGGGGATTTTTGGGAGGAAACCAGAGCCAGCTCCATTACTATCCAGAATCAAAACTCCTTTCTCAAAGCTCTCAGCAACTGAGGAGGTAGGACTGAGAGCAGGACCTGCCAAGGTCATCTTCCACCACACCTAAAGGGACCTAACCCAGGGCACTGAGCCCAGTTGCTTCCCTTCCCTTCTCCACATAGGGAACAGTTGCAGCAACCCCAAGGAGCTTGCAAAGGAGCAGACTTTGGAAAGCTCTAGACCAGTGACATGCAACCTCTAGCCCACAGAGCTGTCATCTGGCCCATATACTCCTCACAAGTCTGGAAATCTGGTGGAGGGGGAGGGGTAGTAGCATTAATTGCTCCCAGAACTGTAGCATTAACACTGCCACCACTCCTCTGAAAAATCTTGAACGTTGAGGGTTGGCTAAACTGAGTTCTTGATCTTGAACACTGAGTGTTGCCAAATTTATGGATTCTTGGGGAGTGCCACAGGCTAGATGACACCATCATGTCTACCAGGACGCAGGGTCATGCTATGGCTGCATCCATGGTTCAATACTGCTTTGGCATGCCTGATGGCACCTGCTGACCGACCCTCCATAGTGAGCCCATGCTGGATCCAGCCTGTGGATTGATCCCACCTGCAGGATCTGATCCATGGGGCTATAAGGTTGAGCCCCACTGCTCTAGACTTTTGGAACTGCTCTGCCAAAGGAGCTGGCAGCCCCTACATCTAGGGCATATGGAGAAAATTAGGTCCTTTCAACATCAATCCCATCCCTACTATCATAATGGGAGCAAGAGCAGTCTTCAGGCACCATTAGTGAAATTTGGACTTTGGGGGGACTAAAGGAACAGACTGGTTGGCCACTGCCATACCAGACACAGTGCAAGTCATTACATATGTGTAAAATACGGTCTTAAAGCTCACTTTGCCCTTGAGCCTTCTCCCATTTTGCACAGGGTCAGACTCCTATGTCCAAGTAGTGCAATGTGAAGGCTGCTAAATTATACTGGCTGCTAAAATTTCCAAGAAGCTTCCACCATCTCTTGCGATGGTGTGGCTCAGCCATCCCTCTGTCCTTGATAACCTGGGATTTCTAGATGGAAAACTGAGCCAGATCCACAACATTCCCAAATCCCAGGCTCCTTCCATGTAGTGGTAAGCAGCAGGTACAGCTGAGAGTCCAGGGGGTAAAGTCAGGCAAGGTTTTTGGGTCAAAAACCAAGGCATGGGAAATTGAAACATTTCAGCAAAAAAGTGACTTGTCTAAAGCCATATGCCGAGTCAGTGGCAGAGCTAGAAATAGAACCTGGGGTCCAAACTGTATTTTGCCTCTAAAATACATAATCATGATCACCCTGTTTCACCCTGTTCCAGTCCCTAAAAAACTATTCGTGTGTCAACTTCTGTAACTTGTTTTCATGTTAGCCGTAAGACCAACTTACACACAGCAGTGAGGAGGAGGGTCTATCCACACTTATGCTGATGCTTTTCAGATTTTGGGCGTCTTTCTCCCCCTCTTCTGAACTCTACTGCTTCACAGTAAAAGGTCCATTCTTGAAAAGGATGCACAAACGACAGCACATTCAACCCTCTTGTTACTCATTTGGCATAGAAACCGTTTCTATTACATTACTGCTGAATTTGACCTAATACGTCCTGTAAGACAAATATGAACTAGAAAACACTGATCCACACAAACAATGGAATTTATCATAGCAAGGGATATTGCAAGGATATGGAAAAAAAGATTAAGAGAGGTATATAGAGATGGGCACAGAACTGATAAGATTATAATGTAAAAAAATATACTAAGAACTCAACGCTGAAAACATGAGAGCAGTCCCAATGGACTCAGCAAATTAAAGGTTCATGTGCCCAACTTTGCCGCAATGTCTTTCCATAATCATGGTGGAGAGGGGTATATATAGATATCTTCTGTACTTTATTAAAGATAGCATTTGGATAGTTGGGGATTGAACATGATGACTGAAGGTAGGTAGCTATTTTTCTCCAGAAGTATCTTCCCCTCCAAATGAGAACTCAGTTTAGCCAACCCTCAATGTTCAAGATCACAAGAACCTAAAATAATAAGATTTCTAAACATATACAAACATACACACACACTCCCACCTCCCCCCTTTGATTTTTTTTTTGGGGTGCAATTTTTGAACATTCAGAGTCCACGTTTTCCAGCCCTCTACAACCATGAAAAAAACTTACCTTAAGGAAAAAAAAAAAGTAAGATTTTCATAAAGTCAGCTGACTCTGGTAGCTTAAGTTTTAATAGAAATACCAAATATCCCAAGCCATGTGATTATGTCATAGGTCAGCAACACAAAGTTCCATTTTCCCTCCTTCCACAGTTAACTTTCAGGTTTCTGGTATTCTATACACTATTATGTTGTAAACTTAGTGCATAATAAAGTAAATGTATAATAAAGCAATATTTACTGTATAATAAATATTTGCTTATTTTTTTCCCTAAACACTTGGGTTTGAATTTCCCCTTTGCGGGAAAAGATGCACAATGGATTCAAAACTCTGTAAGGTTTCCTTTGCAGTGCTTCCTGTAAATGTCTCTCTCCCCATCTCTCATTTAGTTAGTCTACAAATGGTGCAGCTACCCTGCCTTCTGACCGACTTCAGACTAACAGGGCTAACAACCTCTCTCTGTCAATTCACCCCATCACCAGCAGAAACTGGACCATATCACCAAACAACATTGGTCATTGATCACCAACCACTAAATTTGCATGCCCTGTACTAGATTGTGGTGAGTAAGAGCAGTTCCCACTGAAGTCACTCAACAGCCTCAAGGCCTAACTGTCATTATAATAAATTAACTCTTACCCAGCCACAAATTTTCTACTGCTGTTATCAGTTGTGGCATGAAAACAATCCCAGCAATTTATTTATTGGAAAAAAGATACAGAGAATCCAGAAAATTAGTTTTCCATAAACTGTCGGTCCTAAATGTTCGTTACCTCCCCAGCCCTGGAAAACAGAACCTCTCCTATACATTTTCCAATGGTTTGCATTACAAAATGCAAAACATGTAACAATATGCTATGTGCATGGGGCAAGAACTTCAGGATCTTTATATAACTTCTCCCTTTAGAAATTTCAGGGTGTCTATATATGTGCTCAGGGGTGTGTGTGTGGGGGGGTGCTTTAATTAGAGCAGCTCTGAGATCCGCTTGAGTCTGCTCTGACGCACTATAATTACAGCACATTGGAGCAGCTTCTGCTCATGTATAGTCACCTGCAGAGATTAAATGCATGTATAGGTGACCTCCAGGGGCTCATAGGCCCTGCTTGTTACTCAAGGAATGTTTGTGAAGTTTATTGGAATGACTGGCTTTCATACACTCATGTTCAATGAACTCTATGTTGGGCATAATGAAAAATCAAATGTCTGAGTGATGTATTTAGGACATCTTGAAAGTCTCAAAGTGTCACTTGCAGGTACTTTTTGTAAAACATCACCACCAACAACAGTAATAATGATAAGTCTTATTCATAATCTCAAAGAATTTCACAAAAGAAAGGGAAAAACCTGTAACAACTGTTACAGAGGAGCAAATTGTATGAAATGACTTGTCTAGAATTACATAAAAGGTCCAGTGATGTGATCACTAGTGGCTGCCATCTTTTCTCCTCATGAAACTGTGTTTTTGGGAGAACAGAAATTTTATTTTCCTCACCAGAGTCAGTATCATGAGCATCAGGGAGAGTGAGATGCATCCCATTATGTTTTTTGCTCACTGGCACTTCTGTCACACTGCTCTCCTTCTCAGAACCACTGTAAGGAAGAAAGACTATGTTAGATTATCACTTACAGATTAGAGAAAGCAATAAGTTCTCAAAGTGCACAACAATCCCATTAAACTCAAACATTTTAAGTGATTGTTCAAATGCATTGGGAGGAAAAGTTTTGTTGCGTTTTCTCAAAGTTAAGTCTTAAAATTGGTATCTTTGAAACAAGGAAGTTGTTTTACCTCCCTGCCTGCCATCTGACACCTCCAGGGAAGGAATTGTACCTGATTGACACATCAAAAAGCTCAACACAGCTCTCACACTCTCATGGACCCAGAGGGACAGCCTTCCATCTTCAACTCCCTATGTGTAAAAATGAAGTTTATTTCCTGCCTATGGGGACTTTTTACCATCTTGTACCAGCTACACTTTTCCCAGAGCCTGACGAAGGGACTTCGATCCGGAAAGCTTGCAGAAAAGGACAATGTTCTTGCCATTTTCCAGTTGGTCTAATAAAAGGTATCGTTTTGAAACCAACAGTTCTAGTTTGTTGTATAGCTTTGAAAAATCATTTAACACTTTGGGAACGAGCTCTACACAGGCAGGAGGATGCACAAACTGGTCTAACACTTCTTTAACATTGCTAATTTATTTGATGAGGTTTTGGTCCCAGTGGGAGGGGAGAGGAGGGGAAGGTCTGCATACAGGGAGCCTCAGAACCAGAGGATCTACTGTCACAAAGTTAAAACAGATCATCCAGTGCCCCTGATAGGGAACATGGAGATCATCTTTTCTGCAATTATTTGGACTTGTTGCTAGCATGAGGATCTGGTTCAGAGCAAATGTTGTGACTGTTCCCTTAGAATACACCAATTAGCACCAGTGTAGTAAGTGATAATTGCTTGATTTCAAGGGGATTAACACCTCCCCTTCCACCTATGTACTGGCTGAACAGAGGAAGCAGCTAAAAGCTCTTTCAAAAAAGTATTATATAAGGAGGAATCTTCAGTCTCCTGCTTTTTTTTTTTTTTTAAACAGACACTTGCCCTCAGTTAGGGCCTTCCAGCGAGAGAAAACAGGGCTAGATCCACAAAAAGACTTTGGTGCTTATGTTCCACGTGTGCATTAGTCACAGCTTGCAGAGGCATCACAACTACAGGGGATGTAGAGGATTCTCATTTCAGAGGAAATATAATACAGGTTTCCGTCACTTTATGCAGGTTTGCTCTTATGCGATCACCCTTTTTACATCCCAAATTCGTTATATGCGAGGTAAGTCCATAAGGGAAGGGGCAGGGGGAGGGGCGCAGCACAGCCCAGTGGTTGCAGGCAGGTGGCGTCGGCCACTCCTGGGGCATCTGCAGCAGGAAGCAAAGTGGAGGGAACTGTAAGTGGGTGTGGGATGGGAGGGCGCGGCTCTTGCTGCTATGCATACCCCAGGACGGCCGTGCCTGGGGGGGCTGCACTGGGCTCTTCCCAGGGGGCATGTGTCCTTGGAGCTGCGTGCTTCCCCCAGCTGGCCTCAGTTCCCCAGTGCTAGGTCGCAGGCAACAGGAGCAGCGTCCTGTGATCTGGCAGGCAGATCGGGTGTCTGCCTGCACCCCTGGGAGAGCTGCGGGGGCTCTGCTGGACTTCTCCTGGGGGTGCGGGCACCATCTGCCTGCCGGATCAAAGGACGCTGCTCCTGCTCCCCAGCTCCTGCTTGTCAGCAGCCTGAGGTGCAGTTTTCTAGAAACCCCTGCACCCATCTCCTTGAAACATGACAGGCTTCATGCCCTCAGAAGGGGCTACCATCCCTGAAAGATTCATCAGAATCAGACAAGAAATGACAAAGTTATAGGCTGTTTCATGTTTCTCCATTATAACCTATGGGTGAAACGTTGAAACAGCATCAAAACAGCGAAACCATTTAGACGAAACAATGCTTTTGAAATGAAACAAAACTCTAAATGAAACACTGTTCCATTGAAACGTCAAAACGGATGTCGAAGTAGAATGCTGCTGTTTTGCACAGTCCTAGTAAAAGGGTCTAGGCTTGTAGAGATTAATTCTAGCAGATGATTTCTTGGTGCATAACATGAAATAATCTTGATTATTTTTTGTTTATTTTCACTGCTGCTTAGCCAAACCAACAAACACTTTCTAAGAATCCCTCAAGGAAGATGCATGCATCGCCTGATGTAATTATGTGGATACAGCATTGACTTTTATGAAGCATATGGAAATACAGTCTTTTAGCAGTTTCCTAACATTATTTTGTTCTCAAGTACACTGCCCAACCCTAAGGCCCCTGGCACACATTCACTGAATGGTGCAGTGGGTTTTATCCCAGACCCCAACAACTGTACCTCCTGTCAGGCCACATGTGCATGGCTGGGCACTCAAATCAGGTCCAGTGTAGTCTGGGCCAGAGCCAACAATCAGCTGATTGTCAAAATCCCACACCTGGCAGCTCTGGATGGGCTGCCATACATGGGGGAATTAGAGGCTTCCTGGGTGGGGGTCGAGAGGAGCTGAAGGGCTTCTCTGGCTGGGGACTTTAAATCTTGCCAGTAATCTCTTATCCCCTGCACTCTGGCCAGAACTGCCAGGCACAGGCTTTCAAGTCCCCAGTAGGAAAACTGCCTCTTTAAAGCTCCTTGGGCACAGGGAGCCAGAGACTAGCTAGCTTCTCCCTACTGCCTGGGTCAAAGGTCCAGGAATTTTTAAGAAGCACAGCTTCAGTCCAACTACTAGTGCACTCTTTAAAGCTCTTGAGGCACTGGGACCCATGGTGTGGGGCACAGGCACCTAAGGAGCTGGGAACTCCCAGATGCTGTTTTCACAAGTGCTTGGAAACACAAAAAAGTGGGTATACAGTTCAGGCTCCCAGAAGCACTCTTGGTGTTTTTTTTTTTTTGTTTTTTTTTGTTTTTGTTTTTGTTTTTTTTTTTACAGATCTGGGGCACAGTGAACCTGAGATCAGAGATACACTCCCTGATGCTGGGTCTATGGTGTCCTTCACTGGCTCCCTCAATTTGCCTCTGGGATTGGGTGGAAGTGCTGGGTCCAGGACATGGTGCTGACCCCAGACCACTGATTGGGTGGCAGGGGAGGACTGTGTCCCAGACCCTAGGGCTGCCCCATGCAGATCCCTACACTCAGCTGAGACTCAGAACCTGTCATGGGTCAGCTCCAATGTGTCACGTGTTCAATTTAAGCTGCAATACACATGAGCCACAATGTTGCACTTTATATGTGGAATATCTTTGTGGCATGTGTGCTGTTATCATGCAATCAACCGGCTTTAACATGTGGTCAGATTACCATTGATGGCGCAATTAAACTTTAATCTCATCCTACAGCAACATGTGCCAGGGCCCTACCATACTGGATGCAATAACTGCATATATCTATGCCTACAATCTAAATGCTATATCTGCATAAGTCTGTAGTGATATAAATGAGTTAACTCACACTAACTTTGGCACCAGATGAAGTAGAGTTAAAAGGTGGTATGGTTTTTTTGCTTCATTTGTATTGCTAGTGAATCACACAACCCAACAGTTGAATTATAAGATACAATGAGAACTAGAGGTATACAACCCTTCTATCTGTCTGTACTCTATGGTGAGTTGAGTAAGGAGCTGCTAGGTGGTCAGCTTTTTGGGGAAAAAAAATCAGCTCACGGTTAGATACCTAAGTACATATTTAGAGATCCATGTTTCAGCACTTGTTTTTAGAAACCTTGTCAAAGAAGTGTGTGCATGCATTTTTTACTTCAAACTTGTCCTTTTTGGAGGGCTGGAATGATATTCAGTGCCTTTGTTTTTCTACATATTAAAAAACAAAACAAAATTGTGCCATCCATCCCTATTTTTGCAGAGCAACTCCAATATCTTTAAGACATCACTATTTCAAAAATCAAATGGGTCAAGGCTGCAGGGAAAACCTACCTGTGTTGTGAAACACTATATACCATCTGCCATGTGTGCAGCATGTGTCTACAAGTCACCAGAGCCTCTTCAGGTCCTTTATATGCCAACTGCAGTTTTACTTTGGTGAAGAGTAAGCTAAAAAACAAACAACACCACAAATAAACCACATAGACTTTATCAAGGTCTGGTACATGTGGTACACAGCTCCACTGTCACTCTGATTGGGGCTCAACAGACAGCATGTTTACCTGCTTCTTACTTCTGACTGGAGGGAAAAAATAGCCTAACTGGAATAAAAGCATCGTTTCTTTAGTTCAAGCTTGGTATCACACAGCAAATGAGAGAGTCGACAAATACTCCTCAACCACAGGCAAACTGGCATGATAAGACTAGCAAAACAGTATTAAAAACAACATGTTACAAAACTAGTAAACGTTATAAACACATGGCATATCTGGCTTTATTTTAGGCTGCTTAAAAAACAAACAAGCCAACTAACCCAGTAAGAATTACCATGATGCACAGACTGCCAACACCAATGGTCTCTCTACTTAGGTACAACTATTGCATGTGCTATACAGCATGCATTTCAGAGAAAGGCAAAACACAAGGATGTAAAATAACCTACGATGCACCTAGCCTATTATGAAATAATACCTGCAGGAGGGAAACCCCCTTCCTTACCCTAGCAGGTAATTTTGTGTTCTATGCAAAAAGACTGATAGTCCTTTTATATTTTTGTCTTAGCTAGTGCAAATGCATGTACTATTCTTATTCTTTCACAAACTGTTGAAATGCAGTGTAATTAGCTCAAAGGGAGCTTATAGGAGATATTTAAGAGTGACAACAACTACCAGCTGGTGCTGGAATGGAATTTTGCACTTTCTTCCATATACCATTTTTTGATTTTTGCAGATATACTGAATAAAGTTCCTTGTTTTCTCAATGAAATCTACCCTAAAGTCACGGAAGAAATACTTTCTAATTAACTCAGTATGACAGCTATGTCATGCAAAATCACACACATACACATAGTAAGACAATAAGATAAAATATGTCCCACGTTATACAGGCATAACTGTGGAACTGAGATGACAGACCTTCCATTTAATATCTCATCAAATTCAAAAACAAAGTCTTCAAAGTAAACAAGGCCCAAACAGTTCAAAACTTTATAGATCAGAACTGACACATCCACTTGCACTTGGAAAGTAACTGAACCAAAACAGACTACAAAGTGCAGATACAGAGAAATATGTTAAAAGGGCAGTCATACACTGCACTACCAGAAGTCCCAAGTTACCTTCAAATGCCACTCTCAGAAAACTGCAAGTTTACAGCTTGGGGGAGAAGGAGTGGGGAGCAACAATTACTGTGGACATCACAGATAAAAGACATTATAGCAACTATGTAAAACTGAAGAGGAAAACACTCTTGGCCAGTGCTGCAAGATCCTTGGAAGTACCCAAGGATCTAGCAACACTCTCAAGCTAAAAGCTTAAATTAGAAGAGGCAGACTCATGATGACTGTCACAAGCCAAGGATCAACAATACTGGAAGTCCAGAAGCCAAAGCCCAGGGACCCCAAACCAGGTGTCAATCTGAGTTCAAGGTGTCACACCAGGGGTTGAGATGGCCTCAGGGGAAGCGGGAGGGTTTGTATAGCCCTTCCATCACAGGCTCATGGCTTCCATTCATTCCCCTGGGGCGCACGGTCCCCCTCACGGGCACGGTTCGAACTATGGAGGAGCCTGGGGGGGCTGAGCCCCCCCTTAAGAGATGAGGGCCTCCCCATGGGCCGGTCAGCCTCTTGCTTGCCCTGTGCCCTTCTAAGCAGCCCAGGCAGTGGTGGCAACGGCAGCTCCTTCTGATTGCCACCGCCACAGACACCCCCAAGAGTCGAAATGTAATTCAAATGCTGCTCACAGGAGGGCCCAGACTGAGCTAGGCCCAGAACATGGCCAGCTGCTTGGTGGCACTGCATACCAGGCCCCTGCCCAAGAGCTTGGAAGACTTGGGTTTGAACCAGGGGGCCTGACACAGGCAACTTTTGATGACCAAAGAACGGATATTCTTCTCTGCTTCACCCATCTACTCAATGTTACTTCTGTCTTATCTGACCTGAGCTTGACAAATGTCAACAGCAACACACTAAACTTTGAGAGATGCTGAGTGCCCTACTGGAATTAGGTGTGCCTAATTTGGTTCATAGATAATAAGAAAAATGCTACAGGAAGGGCACTTAATTACACTTGCAAGTGACGCAACAATAGGTAGAGTGGTAAATAATGATGGAAACAGGTCAGTTATACATGCTGAGCTGAATATCTTGATAACATGAGGTTATTTGATAATGTGTGTTTTCATGTACCCTAACACAAGATCTCAGATTGAAGAAAGACTGTAAATCACACTTACAGAATGGAGGACCATACCCTAGAACATAAAAACACTGACAAACATGTCAGAATCACTTCATTAGGGGCAACCATAAGCCTACAATTGGCAAAGACCTTGTGAGGGAACACCTTGTGAGGCTGGACATCCACAAGTCAGCGGGCCCGGACCGAATGCACCCAAGAATGCTAAAAAAGTTGGCTGATGTCATAGCATGGCCAATGGCAAGGATATTTGAGAACCTGAGGTGCTTGGGAGAGGTTTCTGAAGATTGGAGGAGGACTAATGTGGTGTCTATCTTCAAGAAGGGAAGGAAGGAAGACCCAGGGAACTACAGGTCAATCAGTTTGGCCTCAATTCCTGGAAATATCTTGGAAAAAAGTATTAAAGAATCCATCAACAGGCTAATGGAAGACATCATTCTAAGAGAAAGCCAACATGGCTTCATTCAGGTAGGTCATGTCTGACCAACCTCATTTTCTTCTATGACCAGGTGATGCATCACAAGTCATAGAAGGGGACAGGGAAAGAAAGGCTGATGTCATTTACTTGGATGTCGAAAAAGCCTGACTTGGTCTTCCATGACGTTCTCATTATAAAATTGGGGAGCTGTGGCCTCAACAACCTTATGGTCTGATGGCTGGGGAACTGGCTCCATGGTCAGACCCAGAGAGTGACTCCCAATGGAACCAAGTCAACACGGTGCATGGTGACCAGTGGTGACCTCCAGGGTTCAGTTCTTGGACCATTATTCTTTAATATATTAATAAATTATCTGGATTTGGGTGTCAGAAGTGGACTGGCTAAGTTTGCAGACACCAAATTATGGGGAAATGCAGTCATGCTAGAGGATAGGTTGGGGATTCAGGCCGACTTGGAAAGGCTTGCAAGGTGGGCAGGTGAAAATCTGATTCAACATAGAGAAATGCAAGGTGCTCCACCTCAGGAGGAAGAATCCACATCATACCTATAGGCTTGGCAGTACTACATTCACTAGCACCATGACTGAAACAGATTGGGGGTCATGACTGACCACAAGATGAATATGAGCCACCAATGAGATGTTGCAGCCGGCAAAGCAAATAAAATCCTGGCTTGCATCAACTGATGCATCTCAAGCAAGACCCAAGAACTCAACCCATGCTTTACTCGCCCTTGGTGAGGCCACAGCTGGAGTACTGAATCCAATTCTAGGCTCCACATTTTAAAAAAGGACATGGAGAAGCTTAAGAGAGTCCAGAGGAGAGCCAGGCACATGATCAAAGGTCAAGAGACCAGGCCTTATGAAGAGAGGCATGGGACTCTTCAACCTGGAGAAGTGCAGGCTATGGGGGGACTTGGTGGCAGCCTATAAGTACCTAAGGGGTGTGCATCAGGATCTGGAAGAGCATCTGTTCACCAGGGCACCCCAAGGGAAGACAAGGTCAAACAGTCACAAACTGCTGGAAGACTGTTTTAGACTGGACATAAGAAAAAACGTCTTTACTATCCAAGTCTCCAGAGTCTGAAATAGACTTCCTCCAGAAGTGGTGCAAGCACCTACTCTGGACACGTTCAAGAAGCATTTGGATGATTATTTTGCTGAGGTCATCTGACCCCAGCTGATTTCCTGCCCTTTGGGCAGAGGGCTGGACCCAATGATCTTGCAAGGTCCCTTCCAGCCCTAATGTCTATGAAATCTATGGGAACACCAAATGAACATGGTTCCCAGTAAAATGCTGTAGTTCAGGGGACAAAGGTATAGTGGAAAAAAGAATAACTAGGTCTAATGGTTAGAAGCTACAGCTACACAAATTAAAATTAGTAATAATGTGTTACTTTTACTCGTGAGGGTAACTAACCATTGGGAGAACTAATCTGGGGATGTGGTAAATTCTCCATGCTTGAAGTCTTGAAAGCCCAAATTGGATATCTCCTGAAAAGACATGCCACTGCTCAAACAGAACTTCTGAGCTTGATGCAGAGATTAATGAACAAGGTTATTCAGAATGCATTATGCAGGGCATCAGACTAGATGACCACATGGGTCCCTTTTGGCCTTAAAATCTATGGAAAAATTCTGCCCGTCTAAAACTAAAGTCTTCAACAACTTGTGCTGTTTTAAGCATAATGGATTTCTTGTGCATCAGTAGATTATTTTAAAAATGGAAGAAAACACAAGCCACAAGTCAGTTTAAAGACCAGTACTAGAAAAGAATGTACTCTTACATCCATGAGTCACTACAGTCATAGATAAAAGGTACCAAAAAAACCCCAACACCCCAATCCCATGAAACAACAGATGAACAGTGGGATGAAGTATCTAACACTACAGCAGCAAAGATTGCAAAGCCATACTACAAAGCATGGTTACGATAATAGTGTTTCCCTTCCCCCTTGCAGCATCTCTGTCAATATAGAGACAATATAGTTGCACACCCAAGCAGATAAAAATAACCACATGGTACATTTTAAACACAGCAACTGAACACTAAATAGACAAATGCATACAAGTATTTCTCTCCCCATTATTATAATACTTACTTGTTTACATCCAGCCTATGAAAGCTTTCTTGGATGAACAGGCAATATTCTATTTCAAGAAAGCTGGTAATTATAAAAATCCCAATGAAGTCTCATCAGGATATTATCTTCAATCACAGAGCACAGGTACACATGATTAGGAAAAATGTTCAATTCCTTAGCAACTGGTTCTGTACTGGAACATCAGGAATTCTCAAAGATACCAATATTGGTTA